GCGAGCCCCGCAGAAACACGATCCGTCTGCGCGGCCGTGGGCGCCCAGCGCCTCGGGGACCCGCCGGAGGGCAGCAGTGGTAACCTGCAAAGGGGTGGGTGGGGGCGGGGGGCGGCAAGCGCAGAGCCCTGAGCTCTGTGGCCAGCCTTGCCTGCCAGCCTTCTCTGAGCATCTTGCTTCTTGTGGTCTCATCGGATTCCTGTCCCCCCAGTAGCCACCCCGGGACCCCCACCCTGCACCCAGTATAGAGGGACGGGGCTGGGGTGTGTGCTTGGGGAGAGGGGCTTGCCAGTTGGCTGAGTCCAACTTCCCTTTCCAGGTCCAGCAGTGAAAACTGTGCAAACCCCCATGGTGGTGGGGGGGGGGCGGGGGGCGTGGGAGCGACGGCGGGAATGCAAGACAGAAGGATGGGGGCTGGGAGTTGCAGATGGCTGAGAAACTGAGGTACACACGTAGCCTGTCTTTTCTTTGCAACCTTGCCTGTAAAGGCTAGATGCGGCAAGAGGGGGCAGAGGGCCCTAAGAGGAGGGCTTCTTCCCTGAGGACAGGTAGTCCTGCAGCCCCTTAGCTCGGACCCTAGCCACAACTTTCGGGGCTCAGTTATAGTTTGGGGGTACTCGATGCTTTAGTCCCCTTTCTGTATATGTATGCCTATAAGTCTGTATATGATATGTAGATAACCTTGTATGACTATTGGTCTAAAGGCAACTAAATGAAGCTTACGTGATAAAATATGTTCTAAACGTTGACTGCTTCTGCCTGAGAAACAAATGAAAACATTCCCACTTGTTGTGAAGGGCTGCAAACGTCCCCATTGTGTGGGTCTCCCTATGGATCAAGCCCCACAAGGTTGTCCTGCTACCACCCTTCAGAAACCAGGCCTTTCTTCCTGGGTGCCTCTGGGTAGACCGGAACCTACTATCTTTCAGCTAGTAGAAGAGCCTTTAACCACTTGGGCCACTGAAAGTACTATATTCCCCGGGATGGTCCACGCTGCCCACTGGATGCAGCAGGGGGCAAGCCAAGAACTAGTGAGGCCCTGGTGGTCCTGCTTAGCTGGGCCCATGGCAGCTGCTTCTCCTGTCTTGTCCTTCTGAGTCCAAGGCTGCCCCTCGCTGGCCCTGGTTGAAGGGTCCCTTCCTGGTTATAGGAGAGCTGGGCACGAAACCACCGCTGCCCGCTTAGCATGTCCCTCTCGTTTCACCGGCCGGCCATGGAAAGAGCGTGGAGCATTTTTCTGGCAGTCTGAGAAAGCTAGCCTGCCTTGCCTACATCCCTTCCACCAGCCAGCTGACTGGCTGGCTGGGAAACAGAAGATCCTGGAGTGGGGAGGGCAGGTGGGAGTGGGGAGGTGGCCTTGGGGTGACCGGTGGCTATATCACTCATACCTGCTGAGGGGACCCCCCCTCCCCCCAGCCTGGACGCCACCTTCACCCGCTGAGCTATGCAGGGCCTCCAACCTGAGCTTCAGGAATAGCGGGCCTTCAGGGTGCTGTTACAAGGCTCGCTCACAGAGGGGGCCTGAGAGCCGGGTTTGCAGGGCACCGCCACTTCTCCACCGGCAAAGGAACAGCAGGAAGATAGTCTCTCTGTTGACAGAGGGTGGCAGTTCACGATGACACTAGTACGGTCACTCTGCTTGCCTCCTACCCTCAGAATTCCAGTAGCAGGGAAGTTCTCCAACATCTTTCGACCTCGTGTTGCACAGCCATGCCTAGGCCCTTTTCCTGTGACTGGCGGTTTTCTCCCTTTGAAAAGTGCGTAACACTGGCAGGGGACACGTAGGGGCTGGGTGCGGCTGAAAGGCTCCATGGCTTGGCCTGCGGGCCAGAGAAGAATGGACAGGAGTCAGCAGCTTTGAGAGGAGTGGATCCCTGCTCTGGGTCGGAGGCTTGGACTGTGTCTGGGCGCAGCTTCCATGGCTGAGGAGACTGGACCAGAATGGCCTGCTTTTGCTTCTTATCACAGTTTCCCTGGCCCAGGAGGAGGCCGAGCAGGGAGCCTGTCGCTCTGAGAGGGCCGCCTGACTGGGAAGGAGACCTCACTGCAGACCACATGAGCTCATTCTTGCCACCAGCGGCATAATTAGAAGGCTGCAAGCGGTGCGTTTACAGTGGGTGCCGCATCAGGAGGGGCTGTGGCGTTCCCAGGCTCCAGGCTGCCGTCCTGTTGCAAGCCTGCCCCTTCCAAGTGCAGTCTGGGCCTGCAGCTCCCCTGGAAATCTCTGGAGACAGACTGTGGATCTGTGCCCTCCTGTAGCTCCCTCCACCCCCAGAGCTAGCTCCCTGGCAGGGGCACTCCACCTCCCAGAAGCCCAGGCCATCTCCAAAGTAAACCAAACTCACTGCCATCGAGTCTGTTCTGACTCATAGCAACCCTCTAGGGGAGAGTGGAACTGTCCCCTAGGGAAACCGAGACTCGAAATCTTTTTGGGGAGCAGACAGCCTCATCTTTCTCCCGTAGAGCACCTGGTGGATTTGAACTGCTGCCCTTGCAGTTAGCAGGCCAACCAGACCCAACCAGACCCAACCAGACCCACTATGCCACCAGGGCGCCTTCCCCATCTGCTCCAAAACTCAAAACAAAACCACTGCTACTGTGTCCATGCTGAGCCCACAGAAACCCTCTCTCCGCAGGGTTTCCAAGGCTGGAAATCTTCACAGGAGCAGACAGCCTCGTCTTTCTTCCGTGGAGTGGCTAATGGGCTTGAACGGTCATACTTACCCGGCTGCACCACCAGGATGGGGAGTGGCGGGTCTTGGGCCGAGGCAGGATCGGGAGCCACTCTTTCTGAAGTGTCACCTGCCCTGACCTCTCTGCCTTGTGTTTCGCGCATTTTGCCAGCTTCAAGCAGATGCCACCTGAACAGGTCACCCACCCCAGTGAAACACAAGGACCCCACAGGACCTCTGTCATTCTCCCCCCATGGGAAGAAGGCCTGGGTGCAGAATCTCACCAGGGAGTGTGTGTGTGTGTGTGTGTGTGTGTGTGTGTGTGTGTG